GTCGCAGTCCTCCTGGCACTTAACAGCATATACAACATTGCTCTGTTTGTGCCGGGGCACCGGATCTTTGGTTACAACCTTCAACTTTGGTTACAAGCTTACAACCTTGTAACTTTAGCAACTGTTGGTGGGCCAAATCAAATGGCTTGGCGGGCCAAATTTGGCCCGCGGGCCCACTTTGGGCTCCTCTACCCTAGATAGATGGTGCCCTTAGCATTTGCCTTTACTGCCTATGCTACAGGCCAGATTTCACCTTCATTTCTCAGCATAAGATGATCTTAGTCTAAAACTCTGGCATGAAAGGTGACAAGTGAAATGTAGTCTTTTTATGCTAGGTTTTTTAAACTTTTTGCTGAACAGGTTCTGTTATAATCTGCCTTCCCGTTTTTCCCACTTGATTCCAGACGTCCAACACCTTGTCGTGGGCCTTGTACCACTTGGCGAGGGACCACAGGGTTCAGGATCGCCTGTACGATGAGGTGAGCTCTGTGTGTCCTGACAGACAGTTGCCGACCACAGACGACCTGAGCAAAATGTCCTACCTAAAGGCCGTCATCAAGGAAACGTTACGGTGAGCATCTCAGTGGGCATGTTTGGGTTGAAAAAATTATTAAACAGCATCTACAGCATCCATAAACATCTTAAATAATATCAAGCTAGCTTTAGATTCAGTTTACATAATAATTTTGAGTAAAACCATAGTTTTTCTATGGTGGTTTGGCCATTTGTGTACATCATCATGGCATCATGCTAGTTTTTGTAGAAACCCAAGATTAGATTTAGAATCTAGGTCTCAAAGTGGAAGTCTTTGGGAACCCCCAGCAGGTGTGTATAAACACAGGTGTGCACTATTGATGACTGCAGTCAATAGTTTTTCTGTGTATCAGTTGGTAGATAAATAACAGCAACAGTTATTTGCTGTTATATTAGGAAGGATTCAGCTCTTAGATGACAACGAATGGCCAGAGTTACAGAAAATGCTTTTTCTCCTCCAGCAAGGAGAAGAAAGCAGCGATAGGCTGTAATCAAAACACCTGATAACAGCCAGAGAAATGAAGCAGTGTTTCTTCAAAACAGAGTTCAACAGAGTTCAACAGTAGTGTGGAGAGACAGTGACAGAGAGAAGCAGAGGCACAGAGACAGGCCAGGTTGTCTGTGTTTCCTGTTGTTGCAATAAAACTCAGCTGATCATCTCACGGAGTACCTTCATTCTTGGACCACATATTTCTGTCTTTGTTAAATAAATATTACCATAACATAGCCCGATATACCCCCCCCCCCCGGCTCACTGAGACCCGCACACAGTGCAGACACACAACGTGGTGATGAAGTCTCTGCAGGTAACGTCAGCCTCATTAACAGAACATCCAACTTTTGATCAAACTGTAATCTTTGCAAAGAACCAGAAATAAGTCCACAGGGCAGCTGTTTTTCTTATGAAATGTTAGCTTGCTGCTATAGTCACAAATCATTGCTGATGTTAGTGATCACTTTTAGTGATAGCATTTAATCTATTATTGAGTTGTTTTTAATCACTTAAACTGTAGTTTAATCCTAAGATTGAGTCCAAGTCCACTCTGATATTTATTGATTATAATTTACATTCATAAATCAACAAATATTTCTGTTATTTAGTCCAGAGATTCTTAACCTATGGGCCGCGGCCCAATTGTTCAACCTTAGTTTGTGTTAAATGACAAATTATGTTCATGCTGTAGGCTACAGCAGCGCTAAACACACATCACGTACTGCCATCATCTGCAGATTTGTGAGGAACAATACGGACAGGAATTTCCCTTCAGCTGGAAGTTCTTAGGTAAATCCTGTTGTGCGTTGTTAGTAGTTTTCAAAGGAGTCCATAGTAAAATTATTTGCTACAAGTTTTTTTCACAATACTGCTAGAACATTGCCATCAAAAATAAAAATAAAACTAAGCCACAAATCTCTGTTCTCCATGACTGTTGTAAAAACAGCAGAACTAACATGCTCATCCAGTGAAGAAGTGGGCGGAGTCTACACTTGGGTTACCAGGTGAGGGGCTGGGATAGCTTACCCGGATTGTGACATAACAATCCACAGGTTTTTGAAACAGCTCGTTTTCTGACACTAAAAAATCCCATTCGCAGATTGTCAAAAAAACACAAAAAAACAGCTGGGAGCATTTTTTTGGATTGTTTTTGGAAGCAGTACACAGACCCAAATTGAAGCATAAAAACATGTAAAAAATAAAAAGTGAATTTTGCGTGGTAGGTCCCCTTTAACATTTAGTAACTAATAAATAGAGGATTAGTGGCTTTGGATAAATGTTTACAGTCAGTTAAAACAATGAAGTTGGGTTCAGTGAGACAAAAGGACACCCTGTCTCAACACTTACAGGTTTCATCACAGAAGTCTATTTAGCCTAAATAAACAGCTCAATATTTTTTCACGTTTTGTCTCTGCAGAGCAGACTTGTCTGTTTCATCTTGTACAGTTGAGAATGAGCAAACTAAATGTCCCCTTTATCTGATTGTGTCTACACCAGTCTGTATCCGGTGGTGTTTGGAAACGGGCGCTTTGTTTCTGAGAATGAGGTGATTGTAAACAACTACTGGTTCCCCAAGAAGGTAGGAAAGAAGAACCCGAGTAATTTTAGGATTTTATGTTCTTAGTAAGTGAACTTGAACTTTTTTCATTCTTAGACTCAGTTCCACTTGTGTCATTACGCTGCTTGTCACGATGAGGCAGAGTTTGTTAACCCAGAGGACTTTGTCCCAGAGCGCTGGCTGAGCCTGGGGTCTCCCAGCAGCCACGCCGGCAGAGCCACGCCTGGTTTTTATCAGCACCACCCGTACAGCTCCATCCCGTTTGGCGTCGGGGTGCGGGCCTGTGTGGGGAAAAGAGTGGCAGAAATGGAAATGCACCTCGCTCTGTCCAGGGTGAGTGAACACTGAGAAAAGAAAAAATATTTAGGAAACTATTGCAACAAGTGGCTCTAAAGTGACCAGAGCTGCAAAATCTAAATCTGTTATGGTTAGGTGATTTGAAACCCAAATGCAAACCAGGCTCATGGAAACTCAGAGGTAAAATGCGAATAGCTTTATTCAAAATAAAAGGCTGACATGTCAACTCAAAAAGATTAAAGGGGCAATATTATGTGTTTCTCAGGCATATATTTAAATACTAAACCATAATAAAGTATTTATGTCACCTTTAGCTGTTATTAAAATGCTGTTTTTAATGTTTAA